CTACTTCTTGGGTGTGGTTCATGTGAAGGGCTACCAATTTGATATGCGCTTCTGATATAACAAATTTACTCGGTTTACCTGTATGTTATTAATACTAATTAGTGATATTCGCCTGCTTTAGATTATTTTCATAATAAAAAATTCACAATAATCATCAATAATGACTTTAAAAGGAAGATAAATTGTTGCTTTATTTCAAAACATTTCAAACAATCCTTAGATTTGCAAAAGGAACTGAAATCATGGATAACAATGCACCATTACTTAAAACAAAATTATAGGTTAGTATCCTAACATGTGTGACATAGGCCTATTATTATGCACACAAACAAATGACATTTTACTGATCTTTTACAGAAATGAATTAACCATCACAGTTATACTGTACAACAAAACTAAACTATTTATATTTTTGAAATATCTTACAATCTTCAGAAATACATTTAATGGGAGGCCTGACATTGCATGCTGGCCACCAGTGCATTGTAATCTGGGCTGTAACTTGAAACTGCAATTCTGAGTGAATCTTGCAAATGTGTATCTGTGAGCCTTGTTCTGTGTCTATTTTGATGTAATTCATGTCAGAAAAGGCTGATTCACAAAGGTAAGTTGAACCAAACAGGCTAGCCACCTTCATAGCTGCTGTGCATAGACCACTAAACCTTTCTATATCAACAAGGCCCCAGAAATTTTCTGTAGCCTTATGGGCCTTGAGGTGGATGTCATTTTGTAATGTCACTATTTCCATTTCCACCTGCCCAGCATCCAAGCTAAGCATTTCACTTAGTTGCTCAGCAATGCACGTTGTGTCCACGTTCATAAAAGGATTTGAAATGAACGACACACATGGCTCCAGCTTATCAATGTCACAAAACCGACTTTCAAACTCTTGCCCTAGCCTGTTTATGACTTGAGAGTACTTCTCAGCAACTTTGTCAAAACTCTCAGACGCAGAAACATTGTTTTTCAGCACCATCTGCAAAGAGGGGAAATGCAGGACCTTTTTCCTCTGTAAATGCGCAGAGAAAATGTTCATCTGGGCTTTAAACGCATTTAAAGCACTGATCATGTCTGCAACAGTCTTTCCTTTCCCCTGCAGCGCACGGTTCAGATTGTTCAGTTTTCCAGTAATGTCTGTCAGAAATGCCAGGTCAAGTAGCCACGCAGTGTCTTCCAGCATAGAGGTGTCTTCGTCTCTAGATTTCATGAATTCCTTGATCTCGCTCAACAGCGACAAAAACCGAAGTAAAATCCGCCCTCTGCTGAGCCATCGGATGTCCGTGTGGAGTAGCAGGTCCCTGTATTCAGCCGACAGCTCCTCCAACAGCACTTTGAAACTTCGGTGCTGTTTGGCTTTGAAGCGGATGCTATTTATGATCCTCACAACAGGAGTCATAACGTGCTCAAAGCCGATCACCTGAAAATGAAATATGCGCATTTAATAGGTATTATAATTGGGCCTTGAACAGGACAGCAACAAGGATGAAATATATGAAATACAAAATTTAAAAAAACGCACCTTTGCGCACAACGCCTGTTGATGAATGATACAGTGGTACTGTACGAATTTCGGGAATGCTGGATCACTTTTACAGTGCGCAATGAACCCTACATGCCGTCCGGTCATCGCAGGAGCCCCGTCTGTCGTGATTGACACCAACTTTTGCAGTGGGATATTTTGATGTTGAAGAACTCCTTCACTGCATTGTAAATGTCAACACCCCTCGTTGTGGTTTTTAGAGGGAGTAATGTGAGAAGTTCCTCCTTTGTAGAAAAATCTTTAAAGACCATGCGAACGAACACCATAAGCTGCACCGTACTGCTGCTGTCGATGGACTCGTCGCATTGAATGCTGAACCACTTGCACTCCGCGAGATCCCGATCCAGCTGATCAGTCAAATTGTCAGACATAGTTGTCACTCTTCTGGCCATTGTCCTTGCCCCCATTTGAATATCAGACAGAGACGAGAACACTTCCTTCCCATATTTCTCATCTTGAAACAAGGTGTTGGCAACTATCATCATTGTTTCTTTGAAAAGGTCTCCATCTGTAAATGCCTTCTTCCTCTTAATTAGATGTTCTGTTGCTCTGAACGAGGCCTCAGTAGCTTTTTGAGATTTTTTCGCAGGCCTTGTGAAAAAAGATTGTTGTTTACACAAGCCTGATTTTAGCTCACCTACTTTTTCAACCCGTAGAGCGCTGCCCGGTGGGTAGTTAGCATCGTAGCTTAGATGCCTGGTCTTGAAGTGTCTCTCAACGTTGTGGCGCTTTGGTATCGCCACAGTCAACCGGCAAATGAGACACACACATGAATCTTTTACAGTCGTAAAAAAGAACTCATTTTCCCAGTCACTGTTAAAATTGTATGTTCTCTTTCTTTTTTCTGTCATGTTTTTGATCAATCTGTTCCTCTTCTTCTGAACCAGTGCCTTAGAGTAGGAGAGGAGAGTCGGACGACCTACTGATGAGTCATAACAAACAGCTGACTAACTTCCAAAACAAAACAGATTTCATATCATAAATTAGTAGGTATTTGTATTAGTAACAAATTTGTATTGACGTCACAAATTGACAATAACAAAGACATAACGGAAAAATATACATACATCAGTCACACAAAAATCCAAAACTAATGACATATAACTTTACTTAAGTATTACTATTTTGAGAATGCCTTTGCGGGCGACTCAAGTAGTCTACGAGGGCGCCATGGCGCCCGCGGGCGACGTGTTGGTGACCCTGCTCTAC